TTTAGGGTCTTATGAAATGTTCTATTTTTTTCACCTTGTTTATTGTTACCAAATTCTGTGTTTTAATATGTCTAATTATTTGAATGCATAAAAACTACTTTTATTTATAGCCTTATGATTTTTTTTTTATCTTTAGAAATTCTGCGTTGTGTATATTAATTTTTCTGGTTATCGAATGAAGGCATAACACATTTAATTTATATTTTAATTAATGAAAATTAAACATTAAATTTTTTGGCAAACAAAGGGGATTTACAATTAAAATTAAAACATGGAAGAAATATTGTGATTATTCCTTAATGATGAGGTTGACTTTGGAAAAAACACGTTCTGAAATTTTGAAATTATTGTACATTATGGGATTTTTTTTCATTATTAATCGTAAAGGTCAAAATGATCGTACAAATACGATAATTATCGTACGTCTGGCAACACTGGCTCTAGCCCAAGCTGTGATATAAACGAACGCTATTGGCTATTTTTAAAAAGGGGCGGGGCTGCTTGATATGTCCCGCCCTGTCTTCCTGTTTCAGTTAAAATGTTTCTAAGCATTTCAGGGGACCTTTAAGAGCACATTGCACAATGTTTAATCAATAAAGTTGGATTTTTTTTTTAATTAAGAGAAATGCCATGAACATTTAAGTTTAACTTTAAAGGTTGAAGTGTTCAAGTTAATAAACGATCCACAACATAATGTTGATCCGTTTCTGTCTAACAGTCTATCATGCTCGTAGCTACTACAAAGAGGCAGAGTAGATAATTTTCTAATATATTTCATAACTGACTGACAGACAAACCTCGTACTTGTTTTTCAAGCACATGTCACTTGAAGGCGTGAGACTCCAGAACAGCACACATGCTGCAGCTGTTTCAGCTAGCAATGTCCATTCCAATTCATGAATGAATCATTCTATTGAGTCGAAACTTTTCAATAAATTAGTTGAACCGTTTCACAAAACTGGTCGAACGAACGAACTAACTAACTTAATAAATAAATAGCATTGCAAATTTGTTTACGACTTATCACCACCCAAACAAAACAGTTGATTATAAATACAATTGAATTATAATGCTTTTAACAAAGGGATAATAAAATGATTTAAGTTTGGGTTCAAAAGGAATTGTTTTATTAGCTGCATAATGGCTGCAACAAATTTACACATAAAGCATAACACATATCTAATAAAACGTGCCTGTAGAACATTAGTGCATGTAATATTTTCCCCCCAGAATGTCAGTGACAGTATGATAACGCATATTGTAAATAATTCGCTGAATCTGTTTTTGAACCGATTCTTTGCCGCGAATTGTTCAAAAGAACCGACTGAACCGACAAGAGTCGGGATTCTTGTCAAGATTCCGCCCCTTAAATTTAAAAAAGAACATGTTGTTTTTGACATTAGATTAAACGTAGTTATGCCGCATTAATCACTACAGTGTTCTATTCAAGCAGTCAATCCAAACGCGTTATGTATCAACGCTGCCGCTGTTCAACAATGCGACTGGACTCCGCGCATGCGCATCGTTGTCACGTTTTGACGCTCCCGTACAATGCCACTTCACGGCGTTAAATATAAACAAATTATACGCCATACTATTCCTTTCGGTTTTACGCTTTAAATTTAACGGCTGAATGCCCGCCGGATTATCCTGAACGCAGGATAATTCGGATCATGCGGCGTTATTTTTTGCTCTGGTTTTGCAGTGATGGTGTTGATTTTAATGCTGCAGGTCGTGCAGTCGCCACTACGAAATCCTTTTGCTTATGGGAAGTATCCGATCAGTTGTGGCTTGTTTGTCGCTAGCTATAGCGAGGAAAATGAGCGCTGCGGCAGGGCTGTGCGGGCCCGGGACATCTGCTGCTGCGCCCGGGCTGCTCCGCCTAAATTCAGTCCCCGGTTACGATCAAAACCGCGTAAATGATGTTCTGCTCTTAAGACCTACTACGGAAACGCAGAGACGATGCGACAATGAAACCGAGAACCTGCGGAAAGGAAATGATCACGTACTCTTCTTTCCTGGAGACATTCAGGTTGGTGCATGTCATCAGTCCTGAATCTCATGGTACCACTGACTGCATGCCCTGGTTTAAATTACGTTTAAAAAAAGAATGTGTTAGGAATTAGGAAAGAGCTCAGCATAGTCAGGAATTAGATCATGCTTACGCATTTTTTTTTTTATTTGATCCCAAATATGCCTATTGTTAGTAATAAAGACTGTGTACTAAACTGTGGAGCCCCTGTGAGATGTGTACCTCTTGGAGTATTCATTAAAGTCATTTGATACAGTTTAGCTTCTGTTGCGACTGGGCTGGATCTCTATATTTAGTTTTTCATTAGACACTTTGAAAACAGGCCCAGGACACGTATAAGAGCGTACTGCAGAAGTCCGTTTAGTTATTGCACAAATGTATCAATGTCACTTCACTTCGAGGTTTCTGAGGATTTCTGAATTCCTTTCGACCTGGAGTGATGCTCATATCACTCTGTTCACATATCACATGTGCATTGTTTTCCAGTCGAAGTTTATATTCCGTTTAAGCCTTTATTTTGAGAAAAGAAAAATGTAAAGTAAATAAATAAATAAAATAAAAATGGTTGGTAAGATTTTTGTTTTTGGAAGTGTTTTATGCTCATCAAGACTGCATTTACAAAATACAATAATAACAGTAACACTGTGAAATAAAATTAAAAATAACTTTTCTATTTTAGTATATTTTTAAATGTAATTTATTACTGTGATGGCAAAGCTTAATTTTCAGCTTATAGTATAGTAGAAGATGTATAGTAATCTGTGCCAGTTGTGTGGCTTAATATTTTTTGTGGATACCCGGATACTTTTTTCAGGATTCTTTGATGAAAAGAAAGTTCCAAATAATTTTAAATGGGAATGTTTTGTAATATTACATAATGTCTTTGCAGTCAATTGATCTATTTAATGCCTCCTTGCTGAATAAAGGTATTAATTTATTTTAAAAAAGAAATAATAATAAACTGACCATAAACACTAGAGCATGCTTCACAGCCATTGAATATTTATTCCTGCTGTTTTCTTCTACAAGAATGTTAGTAAAACATTAAATATACTTGAATCATGAATATGGAAAAGTAGGAATTTTAAATAGAAATGAATAAAATTTTGTCATGGAAATTCCTACAGTGAATACATTTTTGTAATTATGTGCAGCTGTAAAATCTTTAATCAGTGAGAAACTGTTCTTCATAAATGCATTAAAAAAAGTATTCATCCCCTTTTCATATGCAACTTTTCATTCTCATCCACCACGCAGAACTTTCAGCAGGAAATGGCCCTCCAGCCTGACGCTGCCCCATGGCAGTCCTGGAGTCTGGAGCGTGTCGCCCTCACCTTGGGCCATCGTTTCCCTGGCTGCCATATCTGGGTCATCCGCGCATCCCAAATGTACCTACACAAGTTCAGCTGCTATCAGAACTTTGTAGAGAGCAACTTATTTGGAGCTCCGGAACACTCTCCAGACTACGGAGCTGTTCACCACCTGAGAGCACTCCTGGGTCACAGCATGCAGCGGGCTGGCCTCCCAAACCCTTTACCCCCTCTTAGTGGTACATCCACCCCTGGCCCGCTGCCTGCAGGCTTCACCCTGACCATAGTGGGCTTCAGTAAAGGTTGTGTTGTTCTCAATCAAATAGTGTATGAGCTGGCTGGAGCTCGAGCAGATCCAGAACTGAGGTTGTTTCTGGACAGTGTTTCAGATATGTACTGGTTGGATGGAGGACACCCTGGTGGCAGTGAGACGTGGGTAACCGATAAGTGTGCCCTGGGTGAGCTGGCCTCCAGTGGGGTGGCCATCCACACTCATGTCACTCCATATGAGGTATGCGACCCAATGAGGGCGTGGGTTGGGCGCGAGCACCGGCACTTCATAAAGACTCTGGAAAATCTGGGCGCTTGTCTAAGCCAGAAACTGCACTTTGAAGATGAGCCGGCATCCATTGAGAATCACTTCCGCGTCATTCAGGAGTTCTGACTGTTCTCGATCTGTGCTTTCACAAGTCTTAACATGGAATGTATTCTTTGCAGAGCAGACAGCTTTGTATTGCACTGATATATCAGTTAGTCAAAAGCTATGGGCTTCCAGGCTTTGGAAGAATAACTGTATGCTGCCTATACAGCACTCATAAAATACAAGAGAAGATTAAAGCTTAATGACCAACCTTGTAAAGCATTTAGCTGCCTGACATTAAGCCTAATTGTTTGCCTGTTGCAAATACCTACATCAGCTCTGTCTGATATAGTATATTTCTTTTGCGTAGTCTGTTTGGAATGCAGATATGCTTTGTAAAATCATCACCTCCCTTATGTTCAAAGGGCTCTCATTTCCCACAGCATAGAAAAGAGAAATTTGAACATGCTTATTATTAATATTATTATTTAGTTTTTATGTTGTTAAATTAATAAGCATGGATTTTCATCTCAAGTATGTGTATCCCTTATTACATATAGATTCTGTTGAATGAAAAACTTGTACTGCTAAAGCATATAGTCTTACATCAGCAGATTGTTTTTTTCATTTATATATATATATATATATATATGGAATATATGTTCTATCTTTGTGTTCAATATGTAGTATTTATTTTATTTGATAATCAAATACAAAACAAAACATCTAAGGATCTTCCATTGGAGTCAGATGTATAGAATATATTTTTGGTTAGATGAAAAAAAAAAGAATTAAAAAAGATTTTATTTACTGACTCTAGTAAAATGTTTTATTGACTGCGCAATGGTCAGAAGACTCTAGGTGGCGCACTTTATTTGGATTGTTTTCATTGTATCACAAATATGAACGTGAATTTTGCAATATCCTCAGTGTAATGCGATGAATGTACTTCCTGCTTCATAGTCATTCCAAGCTGATGAAATTCAATAAAAATGTTGAAATGTTTCAGTGATCTGTTTAATTAGAAATAGTACATTTAATTACATAAGTACATCTATCTATCTATACACAAATTAATCTATAGAAAGAGGGAGTTATTTAAACGCTTATATACATACTCTATCCTACTCTGTATCCTTGGATATAGATATTTATACTCAATATCCTTGAACTTAGTGAAAGGCAGTTCGCTTAACATTTTTATTATTATTACTTATTAGTCATGGAAAATTTAAGAAGGAAAACAAAAGTGTCAGATAATGCATTTATTCAAGTCTACATGCGTCAGGGCTAGATAAATAAATCAATGGCGTTGCATGAGGGATGTTGTCTTATTTTAAAAACAAAATTGGAAATGATTGTTATGAGTCATAAATCAACAACATACAAAATCTATATTAAGGGTACATCCTTTACAACTCTATACTCAATGGCTTTATTAGAATTTGTGTAAATCATTTGAACATCATTTATTTCGGTACATATAACTCAAAATACAGTTTTCATCATGAACTGAAGCGCCTTCCATTATCAGTTTTCACTAATTCTGCCTAAGATAGTAAGAGAATCAAGAACGTTTATCCCTTAAGTGTCCTTACAAAGTTTGTCACAAGCTTTCTGCAAATACCACAGTGACTGCTCAGAAATGCTATTCTGGATTGAATTCCAGCTTCAAATACCTCATGGCCCTTTAAACATTATTGAGGCTGTTTCCCAGGCAAGGAATAGATTCAAGTTTCCTTTAAGATGACGGCATACAGTGAGCACACGACCGTGACAAGAGCCTCTCGTCTTAGGAGACAATAGCTCTATTATGATTGCAGACTGGTGACATCTCTGGGAAACCGTAAGACCCTTAGCACGCAAACACACATGAGCTCTTCACACCTCTTTAAACAGAGAACAATAACCGAAGGGCTCGACCTGAAGACTGAATTCTGCAATTCTAACATTTCCGGTTCTAGCAGCCACTCAGAAAAGCCGTCAACAAATTATTACACAAATAAACCATAAGCTGTTCCAGTTGTATTTTTGCTAACCCTCATTCGTTGCATTACTGCACACTTTCTACTTTCCGCCACAATATTCTAACATTCATTTGCCTTCATTCCAGAATTCACACCCTGTACTTTCATCACAACAAAACATGCTTCACTATCAGAACATAACCATATCATTTTGACAATAACAGCCAACTTCGATAACCCATCTTTTCATGCCCTACATAATCCAAGGCCATAAATACAACTTTAACTCTTAACGCTCCTTTCTAAATCCCACTGAATACAATATATACTTCCATAACCAAAAGAGCATACAAATAATTTACTTTAAATACTCCAAGCCATCAGTTTAAAGTGTGTACCAGTATCTCGATTAAAACAGGATAAACATTAATAATAATACAGCCACATAAATGTGCTGCACTGGTGTTACAGAAGATGAAGTCAGGCTGTACGCATAGAGGAAAAAATGCACACAAAGGCACTGAAGAAATATATAGTGGTAAACTGCAGTTACAGCTAACCCTGAGAACAAGGCTCGGAATGAACAAGTACTGAAACCTCCATCAGTTAATAGCGTTAGCTTAAAAACACCTGTACAAAACAAAAGGTAACAAACACCCTGAGTTACCTCAGACTGGTGCATAGATAAAAACAGTCATTTCAAGAATATGTATATCATTGACCATCACAGGCATATTAGATATTAGGTGCCTGCCACGGGGGAATGCTAGAATGGTGCTTAACAATAGTTTATTATACAATATGTTGGCAGTAAAAAAGGGAACATTTAAAACAAGAATGATTTTAAAATCAATAGATACATTCGATTTACGAAATCTAATGCTGTTACAATTATTTTCTCATATTTTAGTGACACAAACACATATAATAGAGGGTTTAAGTGCTTTCCTGCTTTTCTTTAGTCATTATGTAGGAGGAAGTTCTATGACCAATACAAACACATATTTGTGTAATCCAGGGTGTGTTGTGCGTGTTTGAGTTGAGTCACATTTTTACGGAGCCCACTAATGTGTCAATACCACAAGAAAGAAGAGGATGTAAGACAAAACACGCACCCATACACCGAGGGCATTCCTGTACTGAAGCTTTTTAAAGGAGACCATCTCACTAGGTGTTTCAGAATCAACACAGTCTAATCATACAAACTCTTTCTGATGTTGAGACAGAGTAAAGATTCCCTTCAGTGAAAGCAGAATTAAAAAGCACTGAATGCCCTGCCGCTCTCTTGCATCTGTCTTTTTCAAATACCTTATTGTGGAAAATTCCTTAAGTGCAGTTATGGAAATAGTTGAGATTAATATGGGCTAAGATAAGCAGAAAATAAAATCGATACTGAATGGCAATTAAAATAGAAATATATTTAAATCCAAATAATTTATAATTTAAAATCCAAAGACGCCAGGAAAAAGTTTCGTGAGACAGGACAGCAACATAGATACTTAGATTCTCACTATTATAATATTAATATTACACCAGATTTGGCCCTTTTGTGAAAAGATCATCTTTGGTCGGCCAAAGGATGGTGAAAACAGCATTAGGACAGAAGCATGTTTGCTGGTGCTGTGTGAGGGCCAACAAAAAGGACCAAAAACGTGACAATGCTATTCAGTGCATGTGCATTTCCCTTTCGGATCAGCATAAGTGGTCACCGTCGCCCGTGGCTGACATGTCCTCCTCAAAGCGAAACCTCTTGCCGTGAGGCGAGTCCAAAATGTTCTCTTTGTCTTCAGGATCCTCGGGTGGTGCGGACCACTTCCCACCGAAACTCCTTTCCCGGGGAGTGCGTGGGGTCACGGGGATCGGATCAGAACCTGGACAATGGAGCCACAGCCAAGGATGGGTCATGCAATCGGCTGCACTGGGACGATCCCTGATAAAGAAGGGGAGAATTCTTGTAAAGGACTTTGATACGTGGCTGAATGGAAACCATTCTGATACTACTATGCTGAAACTATCAGTAAAGAGCAGTAATAAAATCAAAGTACATCATTTAGTTTATGACAACAAGTGCAAATCTACCATCTGAACTCTATTTAGAACAAGCAAAGCTTTTTGCTTTTTTTTTTTTTTGCTAAAGAGTCATTTAATCTTAGTTGCTTTCATGCTTAAAAGTTTTTTACAAATGTGCGATTTACAAATGTGCGAATGTTTGAAGTCAAATGAAAAGAAATTGATAGCTGGACTTTATACTTTGTGATAACCAATAGTTATACAATCCATGGCAAAAGAAAAAGTCCTTTGAGACATAAAAGAGTGATCATTGGACAAGTTAATTTGTAAGCTTACTGAAATGACTTCATTTCTAAAACTCTTTAATGCATAATAAAATCGTATGACCCAGAATAATAACTGTTCTTTAAGTGGAAAAGGGTTTCCCATAGCACTTATCATATGACTCTTCATCTAGAAGCAGTAGTGTACATTATTTTGCACAGTACTGAGCTTGGAAAACAAGCTTAACTTCCTCTAACTGTCTGAAATCAGAGTCACTGAGACTCACTCTGGTGTTTTGACCAGCAGTTTCTGGATGAAGTCGACAGCCAGCTCAGACACCCTTGAGAAAGCCTCTCTGCTGTAGTCCACGTTCACCTGGGATACGTTTAGGAAGGTCTCCTGTTTATCCTCGCCAACGAAAGGAGACTCTCCGGTCACCAGCATATAGGCGATCACGCCCACACTCCTAATGTGAACAGACACACAATCAGTTTGAAACCATCTTAAACAACCAATAAACAAAAACAAATATGACACTAAACACGGAATATCCTTTGTTAGCACAAAGTGTTTTGCCTCTAGCATCAGACCATCCTGCTGCTGCCTCAGCTGGTTTTCTGATCTTAACTCGTCTCCCTGCCTGATCATGCTGGTCTGGCTAGTTTTAGATGGTTTGGGGGCACATTTCAGCTTGCCACTTTCTAGCTTATTTCACATAAAATTAAACAGCACAACTGTTTTCAGCATCGATAATATGCTATATAACATATATAACAAAGAAATGTTTCTTGAGCACCAAATAAGCATGTCAGAATGATTTCTGAAAGATCATGTGACACTGAAGACTGAAGTAATGACTATGGCTGACTCTTTTATAAAGAATATGACTTTTATAAAGAATATCTCTTTGGATTTGAGACTTTAGTCTTTGCAACTTTACAGATCTTCTTATGTACCAAGAGCTTGTAACACTCCAAAGAGAAAGGAAAAATTGAAATCGCATCATATGACCCCTTTAAAATATATATATTATTAAAACATCTTTTAAAATTTTTTATAATATTTCACAATAATACTGGTTTCACTGTATTTTTTACAAATAAATACAGCCTTGATAAGCATAAAAGAATTATTTCAAAAACATTTAAAATAAATTCTTACTGACCCCAAATTTTTGAACAGTAGTATCTTTTGTTCCTTTACTTAACAGAATATGGTATGAGCATTAGAGGTCGACCGAAATGGGTTTTTCACTGGCCGATGCCGATATTTAGAAATCAGGGCAGTCGATGGCCGATATATGATGCCGATTTTTTGGGCGATATGTTTGGCTGATTTTCTTTCTTTTTTTTCCCATTAATCTC